CATTTCGTTCTCTCTCTCTCGTTTCTCCGTTGCTCCCAAGTTGTTTTATCAGATTTGTATCACCTTCTCTCTCCAGCTCTTCCCGTAACCCATTGCCCTAAACCCTCTGTCTCATTTCAGAGTACGCAATTCTCTTCTATCTCCCCAATTTACACCTCCCACTTAAGAGAACGTCCTATTTTCTCTCAGCCAAATCACCTCTCTCTCCGTTTCTCTCTAAACTTTTCATTGGATAAGAGCTTAAAAGGCCTTCTACAAACACCAGAGACCCAAGAAAAAGGTCCCAATCCAGAGAAAACACTAGGACCAATACTGAAACAGTAACCCCAATCCTTGCTGAAGCTCCAAAACAATTTCAAATTTTCAAAGAGAAATGAGCTTTAGTGAGAGAAACGTAAAATTTGCAGAAAAATCCATCAAAACTTAGGCCTAGTTCTATCTGATCTGCTCGAAAAAATATATAAAATCCATATAAATAAGAAAATAGAGATGATAAACTCTTCACCATGTATGAAAAGCAATACTAATTTTTTTTAGACCAAGTATTCTTTTACTCTTCACCATTTCTTCCTCTTGAGGCATCACTGGATTCATAAAAATACATACAATAGCCGGGACAGCATCATCTCTCTCTCTCAACACAGAAACACTGGACATCTAAAACTTGAAAGAACACCAAGTTGTTCACTGAAAGCCGGTCCAAGAGAGAGATAGTGCACTGCTTGAGAACATGAAGGCTATAATTCACGAGCAAGATAGGTGGCTCTTCGATGTCTAGCCTATACTAGACAATACTCGCTTTGTACTTTGCTACACCAAAAAGCCCGAACAATATTTAGACCATGACAGCCCACAGTTCCCATCCGCAACATCCAACTATTGTTGAAAAGCTTTTTGTTTTTTAACCATGACAAGGTTGTATTGTGTAGCACCCTTATGCTCCCTCACCATTACGCTGGGTGCCCAAGTTCTATTATTTGGTTCGTTATTGTTACAAAATTTTGCAAAGGAAAACATACCCACAAATATTTGGGTTCCAAATATTGTGAGCACTTCCCAACTAACAGTTGAAGGTATTTTTATTTTCTCAAGTCACTGACAAAATTTTCACAAACTTTCGGAATATTATATTGCCATGTTACCGGGGTAACTATATAGAAGTTGTTGTCCACCATGTCTATTTTAGTTGGACGATATAGATTTGGTGGCTAATTTGTCAACTTAACTTGTTCAATAATTCAACTTAACAAATATCTCTCACTTGTCAATATGAGCCCCAAACAAGCCAATTTGGGTTTATTTACTAATTATGTCTTATCTGGATTTTCAAGTTCTACAAAAGAAAACCAGACGTGTCCATGCGAGTAAAGAGACACAAAATATATAATCCTTTTATTTATAATCAATGACTATATATAAAGACAGCACAAAGGAAGAAAAGATAAAACCTAAACCACATCCCAATCCTTGGAACTTTGCCACTTAAATAAGCAATCCAACAATGAAGTTTTCAAATAATCTCTCTCTATCAAGCAAAGCAAAATAGCAACATAATCAATAATGAACCGTGATTTTGCTTACCCTCATCACTATTCAAACTTCATTGTACGGTCACAGTTGTTCGGTAATGTTTCAATTTTCATTTTTTTATACAAATTCAAATTACTTGAAATTTGGAACGTGTGTACATCTTAGTGATGCACATCCAATAAAAATATGAAAAAAATAATTCACAAAATATAAATTGATCAAAATACCTCCATAAATTTTCAGAGGTATTTTGATCGATTTATGTTTTACGAATTATTTGTTTCATATTTTTATTAAGGTGCGCCTCCTTAAGATGTACATATGTTTTAAATTTCAAATTGTTCTGATTATTAAAAAAAATAAAAATTGAAACACTACTAGACAACTATGACTATACGATGATGTTTGAATGATGATGAGGGTAGACAAAATCACTGTTCATTTTTACCTATAAACGTTTTGTAGTACTTTTCTATATATATATATATATATATATATATATATATATATATATATA